TCCTCATAACATTTAGCAATTAAAATGCTTTCTAGAGTTTTGGGTGAAATTGAAGAACGAAACATAGTTTTGTTTTTCTTCACAACACTGAAGACTCTCTCGCACTCAGCATTACTATGTGGAATTACGAGAATAGCACATAAAACTCTTGCTAGTCTATACTTTGGTGATCCATCAGCTTTTTTTATTCTTTTTAAGGTACCAACGAGGACATCAAGTCTATCTTCTCCAGAACTGGCAAAGTCTTCAAACTGTGCAGCAGAAAATTGGTTCTGTAGTTCATCTAAAGCATCATTATGGCATTCATTTTCTTTAATTGTTACAAAATGGAAATTTATCAATAAAAATAAACGAATCTTTTAAAAAGATTAATTTTCAATTTGTTTTTAATTTGTCACTTCAGCATTTAAAAGATGTTAAGTTGTTTCAACTCATTAATTACCAAGGAGGCAATATTTTCCCCGTAGCGTCTCAATTTAACAATGGAAAACGCAAAGATGAGTTTTCATTTCATTAGAAACATCACAGAAATATGTGACAACGATGGGGTAAAGCTTCCAATCGCTGTCGTTTGCTGCATCGATTGACACCGAAAATGCTGAATTCTGGAGTGCAGCTATCGTTTTACTTTGCGCATCGCAAGCAATTTCGTTCACAATAGAAGATGTTTTCGTGCGAGCACAAGCATATTTCTGAGCAATCTTGGAGTCGGGAAACATCCGTCTGAAAAGTTGACCGGCGTGATCGGCAGCGCTTAGCGGCACGTTATGTTCGATGAGGAATGCAGTAAAAAACACTCTGCCAAAATGACATCGGCATCCGAATTCGTAGCTGAATTTGAAAAAAAATCATCCACTTTCTTTGACATTGTCGATGCTTAGTTAGACGTTGTCGAAGCATTAACTTCATGCTTTTTAGACTTAACATGCTTCACAATGGCACTTCTTCGACCGTGACTTATTATGAAGTCACACACGCAACGTTGCAAAATGCATAGTTATTTCCTTTGAAGGATTCTTTAATTGTTGGAAATTCAGCTTTGTAGGCAGGCCGAAAATATTGAAGAATACGTTTTTTTTGAACTTATTTTGTAACAACGACGGTATTAAGAAAATTCGTAGCACGTGCAACAGACATTCGAACAATCCAAAAAAAAAAAAAAAAAGCTCAGTAATTGCCTTGACTGGTGAAGCCAAACGCGAAAAAAATAATCTGGCGCCCACAAAGAAAAGAGTGGGAGAACAAGTTCAGCGCATTGGATTGGCTGGTTAAGTGGCGAGTTGGGAGAAAACCGCAGGTTACTGGATTCGAAGTAGTCGGTAGTTGGCGGTTTAATTTAAAACACGATCAATTGGCGAAAAATTCTAAAATTTTGACAAAAATCACTAAAAAACACTTGAAAAAGGAAAAAAAATCGTAAAAAATGGATTACGATCGTAAAGACAAACGCCTTTTCGTAAAAGTTGACAGGTATGAATTCCAGTTGAACAGCATAAACTAGCACTAATTGTTTACGGAAAGTATCCTAGTTTTTGAAACGATTGGTATCTTCTAACATAAAATTAATTAATTAATCATCTTAAGAATGATTTTGTATGCTTATTTAATTGAATATGGCAAAGTATGAGAGTTTGGGCGAGGCATGGTTTCATGGAGAATTTTTCTAGGGAAAATGGATTCATATTTACATTGCCTTAAGGAAATCCACGAAAATGCTTACACACAGTGGTAGGCTGTAAGACAGCTCGTTTAATCTATTTGTTAAATTTGCATCTAATTCCCCCCCTTTTTTGGCTAGCTGATTCCTTCAAAGGAAAATACATATTACTCACTGAACTTCGCACGTTAGTTGAGCAAGCTTTAAACCTGATGAATAGTACATTTCTGTGACAAAGAGAGCTTTCTGACTGCACAATCTATTTTACATTTACCAAGTTTATGCCGAATAAGTTTATTCCGCTGTTTTATGTCATTTATGCGATATTTTGTAAATATTTATATTCTTGCAAATTTAAATTTCATTTTTTTAAAGATATTTTATTTTTATTCATAAATATTTGTATCTGCTATTTTTCTAAGAAGTGAAACATTTAGTTAGATTCTGATATTTTGTTTTCATAACACAAAGTATGAACCCTTTCTTAAAATTTTTATACCTCACTGTTGCTTACACCGCGAGTCCATTCAACCGATTTGAAACTAGGAATGAATTAACAAATCGATCTTTCCACTCATTGGTCTTATCGACTTGAATACAGTGAGCCTGAGTAATGAGGGAAATATCTGTCGTAAATATAAAAGCCATTATAAACGTATTACTAAATAATAATTTTAAAATATGACGTTCCTTTCAAAAGATTTTTTAATTAGAAATTTAAATATATATCTCGAAAATTACGAAGGGAATAACTTATATGTATTTGTAATTACGAGAATAAATATTTCTGTATGTATGCAATAGGGCTTGACAAATTTGGATACATAATTTTTTCTTCAAATAAATATTAGAGTTTATTAACTATCAGCTTCTCGTTGACTGTAGGCATCTATTCTCATCAGCAAATGATAACATCCTGGGTTCAAAAAAGCAGATCAACTGCTATTGAACTCTGAAGAGGGGTTTATTAGAGGGAAAATGGCAACTAACCCCTTCGAGCCGGGTAGCGAAAACGCGCGCTTATCGCTGAGGTCGGCAGTGTCTTACGCGAGCGTCTCTCCAGGGCTGGTGGCTTTTTTGCTACTAAGCCTAAATCCATGAAATTTCCGAAGTATCAACGCATTGTTTAATAATGCTCTATAGAGTATTTAAACGGCTTATGCTTTATAAATATTTTTATATATATACTTTAATTACCTCATTTCTTGTTTAAATGCATATTTTACACATTTTATTTTAATTACTCACCATTTTATGAATTTTAACATTATACATCTGAAAACTAAATATATTACTTAAAATTCTCTTTTCGTATGAAAAATTTGAAAACAGGGATCTACACACAGTCCTACGTTACATTCCTTGCACTCGTAATAACTCATTTCCCGTTTTGGAGGATTTTTCTGGGAATGTGAACAAACGAAGCATCGTCGTCTCATTTTCTTATCAGTCTCTTCTGAACAAAGTTTTGGAAAATGTCTTTCAGTTAATCTTTCAGAATCCATATCAGAATATCAGAATCAATATATGAAATATTTTTGCATCATTTCTGCTATTCATGCTCTGTTAAACATTTTCGACGCTTCGACATTGCAACGGTAAAAACAAAGAATTCACGTCTAACAAGATCTAATTATTTTCTAAAAACTGAACTGCAAACCGAAATACCCAACGCTTTAGAGCAAATAAAACTTCTCTACTTACAGTAAACAACTACCACGTGCAAATAAAGTGCGATTTAAAGAGACGTCATAAATCACGCCATTCGGAAACCTTTATTTCCCCGTTTGTTTATATAATCAAAAACACATGTATGCGAGTCATGCTTCTCTCATTTCGAGTAGAAGGTCTAATTTACATGTATCTGAAACCATATGGACATACGGTGCCATCTTGTGGCAGAAATTATAGTTTGAAAAACGTTCCAAAGTACTGGCACAAATACGTAACAGTCGGTAGAGAATGGAACAATCCTCTGGCACGCCTGCGTGTCGGCCGGTAGGTAAGTGCGTTCGTTGCTGGCACGTATACGTGACAGTCGGCGCGAAGGGGTTAAAATGAATTAAAATTCCCTTTAATTTTTTTAATTATTTACTATATTAATTTATTACTGATTACAATGGATTGGAATATCTGAATATTCAAAATATATATATATATATAATGTTTGCGAGAATACAAAAATATTTTTTGGGAATGTGCTTTCTTATAGAATGCAAATGAATTGCTTTTACTCAATGAAAATTAAATTTGTTTGCTAATTAATCTGTTCTCTATTCAGCACTTTATTTCAGTAATCCGTATTAATGTGCCATTTTTTAAAAATTTAAATGCTTCAAGAATTATTAGAAAGGGACTTAATTCTCTTCTTATCCTTAAATTCTTCATTAATAAAACTGCATTTTCACCTATAATTATGTGAAATAATTCTCTAAATATTTTCACAGCAGAAAAAATACGACACATAAAACGGCTTGGATATGGAATTAGCATTGAGATTCTCTTTATGATGAAGCTTACAAAAAGTCTACGAAGCAAAGTAATTTCGTAGAATATTTTATAACGCTCCATGATTAAATTGCCGTGAATTACACTTTATAAACGACATGTAAATATAATTTAATAATATAATGTGTTTGTGTATGTGTGGTTCACTAACAACCGAGCGGATTTTAATAAAACCACCATTGCCAAAGTAAACTGTTATGGCATAAAACCGATGAGCATTTGCTGTGGAGGAGCTCAGATAGTAGCAGTAGATAGACAAGACAGAGTAGATAGACAAATCAGTGCTGGAGAATAATGAAATGCGAGGAATCTTATCACCCAGAATGAACTCCTTACTCTTTGGTACAGTTGTCTGTGTAACAGAGAAAAATAATTAGGTCTTGGTTTTGTTATTGCAGTAGATTCGAATATAATTCTACGAAAAAAGGATGATTTAATTTTTGATGGAATTATTTTATAACATAAGAGCCTCATGGTATTTTAGAGATTGTAATGCAGAGAAGAATAAGCACGAGAGGCTATTTAAAGCTTCGAAACTTGTCCTGCTAATGTGTGCGAATTGCGCTGATACCTGTTTGTTTCAGTATTATTAACATTTATTTTTCTGCTTGTAATTTTAACTAATAATGAGTTTGATAGTCTTGTTATTGTTTTGAAAATTTATATATACATTTTCATTTGAGCAAAGTTTTTTTCTTCTAAACATAGATTATGTACATCTTATTATTATAGCTTCTTTGTGTTGTTATAAACATACAACAGTATTTCCTGAAAGGAATAACAAATACATTTTCAATGCCAAACAGTAAATTAAATAACAGACTCGTAAAATATATAACGTATAAATATATATTTTTTCTATTTTATTACATTTTATACCTCAGACATTTAATCATAATTAGAAATCACATATCAATTGCAAACTTATAAACTTCAATTTTAAGTACATATCCATAAATTACACTACATATTTCCATCAGTCTAGAAATAGTAGTCATTTAACCAGCAATGATGGTAATCCGAGTTCAGTGGAATATTTTCCTATATTTCTAATAGCTGCATTGCAAAGGTTCTGTAAGGTAAGACACTTCTTCGATTCACTAAAAACATAATTTAATAGCTGATGGTTTTTCTCATTTAATTCTTCCCTCCATCTCCAGAATTCGAAGTGATGTTCCCAATCTTCGGCCCATAAATTAGCACCGCAAATTCTGAGTAAATGAACTATTGTCTGTTTTCCATTTTTACACGCATAGTACAATGGGGGCCCAAACCCATCACGTCTGTCAATGTGACTTCCAGAAATAAGAAGTTTTCTAACTAAAGTTTCGTGGTTTATTTGAGCAGCAATATGCAGAGCAGTTTCACCCATCAACCAAGGAATATTAACATCACATCCTCGGTCTATCAAAAGCATGGAAATATCTGTATACAAATGATTTTGATCTGCAGTGGAATTTGCTGCACCTACCAGTTCGCGTCTTAAAGCAGTTACCATTGGTGTTCTCCCAGATTCGTCGGCAGCGTCAATCTGAGGAAGAAATTGGACATTAAAATATAATGTAAATTAAAATATTAGAATAAAAATAGTTAAATAAATTATCACAAAAAGTTAATGAAACATAAAATAATAAATAAATAATTCTGATCCCAATAAAGTCTTACTCATGAGCAATCTATCGAAATTCAGTGAAGAAGAGTGTTCCGAAAGAATGCCATCTATTCATTAAAATAAATTACTGAGGAAACATTGCCGGTATTCATCATAAAGAACATGGACAAATCCATTCTGATGTATACATAGAGAGAGAAAGAGACAGGCTGGGAAAATCGATAACTAATTTTCGAATGACAAGTCTCCCCAATTTCAAAAGTTTAGAAAATAAATAAACTGCAGAGAAGATGATTAAGTAAACAATACTTGATGAAATGAATGTTATTAGCAGAGACGAATAAAAAAGCTAATCTGATTAAAATTTAAAATTAGGTGAAATTCTATTAAGGAGGAAACTGATACTCTGCATATTTATTTATTTTCATTAACACCACATTTTATCCGAATCACTTTTCAAATTGCTGCCGTCATTATCGCTATGTACTATTTTTAAATATATTAAATAATAAAAATTCTGTATGTATGCTGCTCGACACTGAAAATGCAACACCAAGAAAGAGTGGTCAGAAAGTGAAAAAATTTGGAAAAAAGACAGAGACAGCAAGCAGCAATAAGCGATCTTTATTTCAAAATGATAGAATACAGAGCGAGAATGGCATCAGCTCAGTACGATGTAGGACCACCACGGACAGCAATGCACAAAGAAAGATGTCTAGGCATAGAGTCAATAAGAGTGCGGATGGTGTCCAGAGGGATGGCTCTCCATTCCCTTTCAACCATTTGCCACAGTTCGTCTTTTGAACGAGGCAGGGGCAGAGTCTGCAAACAGCGTCCAATCACATCCCACACATTTTCGATTGGTGACAGGTCAGGAGAATACGGTGGCCAGGGAAGCATCAGTATACCTTGCAGAGCATGTTGGCAGATGCCAGCACTGCGTGTCGGGAGTTATCCTGCTGAAAAATTGCATTAGGCAGCATCTGAAGGTAGGGGATTGCCACTGGCCACAGTACATTATCGAAGTATCGTTGGGCCGTCATAGCACCCTGAATATGAACTAGAGGTGATCTGGAACTGTAGGCAATAGCACCCAAAACCACTATGCCACATCGTCACGCGGTGGTACGTTCCACAATTACTGCCGGATTAGATCTGTCTCCACGTCGACTCCACACACGTATGCGGCGACTATCACTGGATAAACAGAAGCGTGACTCATCTGAGAACACGACGTTTCACCATTCTGTCATCCACATCGCTCCAGACCGGCACCATTTTAGAACGTTGGAGTCTATGCTCTGTGGGTCAATGGCAGTCTTCTTAACAGGACGGCCATGAGTGCAGGCCACGTGCAACCAATCGGCAACGGAAAATGGTTCTGTTCGAACACATGGGAACATGCCAGGGTATCTTGCACATGCTGCAGAAATCGCAGTACAAGTGACTTGCGAGGACCGCCTCAGCTTGTCGGCGGATGCGTCGATCCACGACGTGCTGACGTCACTCTGGCTGCCCCTGCACCCCTCTTTTCTTCCCACATTTCCTGGTTGCCCCAACCATGTTCGCCATGCACCATGTGGTCCTTACGTCAAATCGCAGCTGAGCCCACATGGATGCACCGTGCTCGCATTGATGTGGATATCAGCTATGATTTGACGTAAGGACCAAACCGCCCTTCTCAGTCCAATCACCATACCCCTCGTAAAATCGTCTATCTGCTGGAAGTGCCTTCGTTGACAGCGGCCTGGCATTCTCTCCTCTTACACGTATCCTCCTTGACAAAAACCAACTTTCTTCGATAATTCGTCTGGCAGAAGTAATGACACGAATATTGACCATTTTGCACGCTCATTCCCTTATATCTTACTTCACGTGTGTTGGAGAGCTGCGCATTTTACATCGTTCGCATAACTCAGCGACATGCCTCTACTCTAAAATTTGCATAAATTTCTGACCACTCCTTCTTGGTGTTGCATTTTCAATGTCGAGCAGTGTACTTAGACAATATTATCATAACCAGCAGAAGCAGAAAGCAGAGATTGAAGATCGCATCGTGTGAACAACAATGTGATCTGGAAAGACTTTTGTAGCAAAAGGATGGCAGTTTATCAAGCAAAGGAAAACAAAGATAAGTGAACTTTTCAATAAATATTTTCTGTTTTGTAAAGTTATATGAAAATTTTCAAATACGAATTTACGAAGTCAATTTGCCTCGGTTGACGGCTAAAGTTATTTTAGTTTTATTTGGCAAAAACACAAAGCAATATTGTATTCTAAAAATGCAATGTTAATGGAAAGTCCAAGTAGTTAGTATTTGTGTTAAACCGCCAAAAGTTCTGGGTTGATACAAGCAGCTTAATGAAAATTTGATTTTAGTTTCGCACGTTTGGCGAGAAATGGATTCAAGCAAAATTTTCATTTTATTCTCTGTTGTGGTAAAAGCTCACAACTCAAAGAGCATATACACTCACGTTTGTGAAAATTGCAACACCAAGAAGGAATCGTCATAATTGAATGCAATTTAATACACAGTTGAGTGGTAGTGGTACAAATAAATGATTAAATGTTCAAAGCAAACAAACAAGAACAAGACATCAGAATCAGTATTTTGTGTGGCCACCACGCGCCGCAATAAGTGCTGCTACACGACGTGGCATGGAGTCAAACAAAGTTTGAATGTCTGACTGAGGAAGAGCATTCCATATCGTTTGTACGCGTACTCAAAGTTCGTCTGCAGACGCAACAGGACGAGGATCACGAGCAAGACGCCGACCAATGACATCCCACACATGTTCAATTGGCGACATATCCGGGGAACACGCAGGCCAAGGAAGAAGCTGTACCTGCTGCGCTGCAAAGAAGGATTTAACAATCCGAGCAGTACGAGGGCGGGCCATTGTCCTGTTGAAATACAGCGCCTGGCAAGCTTTGAAGGAAGGGAACAGCTTCGGGGCTGTAGAACTTCACGGATATACCGGTTGCTGTTTCAGATTGCCCACAATTCGTAGCAATTGAGATCGTCTATGATATGCTATGACGCCCCAGACCATAACTCCGGGTGTTCGTCCACTGTGGCGTTCGATAATGCACTCCGGAAGGTGGCGTTCACCGGCATAGCGTCTGCTATGCCGGTGGTATCATGGTACCACAAATTAAAGCGGGATTCGTCAGAAAACACGACATGCTGCCAATCAGCACGCCAGTCTCTATGCTGATTGGCCCATTGTAGCCGCAGGCGGCGATGGTCATGCGTTAGGGGGATCCTGTATAAAGGAGTCCGTGCACGCAGTCCACACTGCAGCAGACGTCTACGAATTGATGAAGCACACAATGAAACACCTGTAGCTATTGACCATAGTGCTGCCAATTGTCTAGAGGAAGCTGTACGGTCCGTCCGCGCCATGCGGACCAGGTGTCTATCATCGCGAGCTGACGTCACATTTCGGGGTCCACTCCCGGATTTCCGAGTTGTCCGACACTCGTCCGTCCACTGCTTCCAAACACGCATCACTGTGCTGCTGTTACGCTGCACACGAGAGGCTACTGCACGATACGACAATCCAGCTTCACGAAGGCCGATGATTCTCCCTCGTTCAAACTCTGTAAATTGTTCAAATCTCGCTCTCTTTCGTCGACGAGGCATAAGTACAGATGAGTTAACGTTTACCACTAGCAGATAACCACCGATAACCCATACACGCCTCGCTACAGCCGTCTATTTATTCGGATCCATCAGCTTCAGAGGCGCTGCTCAGCATACGCATGCGCTACGGATTTGCAATTCTAATCATTTGCATATCATGCGCTACTTTGCATTTCCTGAAAATTTCAGCTCACTCGCGTAAGTCCTTCATGGTGTTGCAATTTTCACAAACGTGAGTGTATAATGAGTATTTAGTGCTAAAGCCTCATATTGTAATGTATTCAAGGATTTATCTTGAGCAAAAGCTTGCATGTGTTTAAGAAAAAATGTAGTGTTCTGCAGGGCTCTCCATCTATACTCTAGTTAATGTTCATTTTTGCTAGCTCATATAGAATTAAGAATTGGATTTAGAGTGTGTCTATCTAATGGTTGCTATGTGCTAACAAGTTTATGTGCATTTAGGTGGAGCGGTTGTTCACTTTGACATATAGTACTTGCGTTTCCATAATGTTTCACCACACTTTGTGGGTGAAGGTGATTTAAATTTAAATAAAAGCACGAATGTATTATGAGTACATTACCCGTAATATTCGGAAAACTAAAGAACGCTACCGTAAATACAAAAGATGGTTAGAAACTCAATAAAAGGGTTAATTTATTGTGAAAATAAAGTGCTATTTGTTGTTGGATAGAAACATGTATTCATAGTAAGACTGAAGGCCCTAATGAGGCAAGTACGGCGGAAGAAATTAGGAAAAGAAATTAAAATTTGTGTTGTATTTAAGTTAAAGTTTAATACTTGCGTGTAAACGGGATCAGGGCCTGTTAGGTGTAAAATTCAACACTTTGCATCAGGTCTTTGAGAACCTTCATCAAAGTCTGCTAAATTCTGGCAGAGGCTACTGTAGGGATTTATATTTATTTTAAATAACCAATTAAATTTTAAGTTTACTTTCTTTATAAGCCTTCAATCCTCTGTCAATGCCCGAATATTTAAATTCGGTAACGCGCGTGATGTAATTCAAATTTATAAGTATTAAGTTCTAGAAGGGAAAATTACAGACCGTGGGCAAGCGCTGTATCTATGTAGCGTTATTTTGCATTAATTGCAGGTTAATGTGGCATAACAGCTATGCTGCCACTAGATTTCGATCCAATTTCAGGTAATATGATTATCTGAGCCCTGTAGTTCTACTACTTGTTAATATCTTCAAATATTTAGTTTAGTTATTATTTGAGATATCGCCTGAGTGAGATGTAATGTGTCAGTGTGAAGTCTACGCATTGTAAATTTTAAAGAGTTAATAAAAGGGTTCATTTTACCCTTTTCCTGTGTGTTTCCTACATGTAATTGAGCTGTCACATCAGAAGATAGACAAATAGATATCAGAATGTAATAACAGAAATATTCTCAGAGTTTCCATTATAATATTGTGATGTTTCTGTGCATTCTTTGATCTGTAGAAAGTTTCCTAAAAAGCTTTTTTTTAAAATGTTTGGTAAGCATAGTTTCATCAAAATAAATAATATTTAGCACTTGAAATTTGCTTCATTAGTTTCAACGCTTTCTCCTGAAAACAGAATTCATTGGCTGCTGAAATGAGTTCCAGAAAACTAGAATTATGCGTTAATCTTGACAAATAATTAATTCCATAGCGTAAAAATAACGTATAGGTACTTTGAATTCATTAAATTTATACATCAATTCGGAAATTTGAATTGGTTAGGTATATCTGAGCAAAGACATATATTGCTTGAAAATTAATACTAAACATTTATCACTTAAAATACTGATTTGATTTCGCTACTTACGTTTGCACCAGCGTCTAAAAGCAGAGATATCATTGGAATAGCATACTTGTATGCTTTGCTGTTATTTAGAGTACTTATTAAAACCTGTCGGTCACCTTTTCCAAATACACTCTTGCCTTGTGCCAAGAGAATCCGAACAGCTTCTGGGCAATGATATAGACAAGCAATGTCTAAAGGAATATGGCCTTTTGCATCACGGATGTCAAAAATGTATGGCATCGATCTCTCAGCTAGGAGCTTTATCATTTCTGAAAAATAATACAGTTTTAAGAATACACTAAATTTGAAAGCAAAAAAATAATTATCGATATTTTTAACAAATGGTAATCTGATTCATGCAGCAATATAAAAGTACTCAGAAATATTTTCTCAGTTATCTGAATTGATGGAATTCTGGAACAGAAACTATCACTTATACATTCATATAGAAATCATACACTTAATGTTTGTTAGAAGAAAAACCAGATAGGTTATCCTTAGTATATATTGGTATGTAGATTTTAGCTGATATATACAACATACCCACTATAAACGTTTTCTACTTCTCGTAACTGGGTTGCTGAGTTAATTGCATAAGAATCACACTTCTCACAAAATATCATTTAGATTTTCATTTCATTTAGTGGGGACTATTTATAACCTTACAATAATATATATTTTTTCTAATTTTATGTTCATATTTATGTACATAATTTCTGATAAATAAATTTATGTATGTTTTCTTAGCCTAACATGGACAATTAATTACCTTGTTACATTCCCTCCATTTCCGCTAAAGAAGCATTATGATACTATTTTGCCCCATGGTGAAATCTGCTTTGCCTATCTTACCTAACTATAATTACGATGTCTTATCAAAGAATATAATATTACATTTCACTATAAAAATAAGACAATCAGCTTTTAAAAAGAAATGCTGAGAAAAATGAATGTAAGTTTATAAAATGGGGGAAAAAAAAAAAAAAAAAAAACAATTTTCTCACTCTGTAATTTTTTTTTTTTTTTTTTTTTAAAACTTTTCCCATTTCAGACAGTAGATTTCATCGCAAATAGCCTTAACCTCTAATCAGTTTTTAAAACCTGCTGTTTTTAGACTAATAAAATGGAATGAATAGAAAATGCAATACTGCTCTTTAAAAAACAGGAAAGAATTAATATTTATAAAATTTAGAGTATTTCTCTAGCAAACTTAAATAAATAATTAAAATAACTATTTGAGAAATAGCGTTATGTATAAATGATGTCATAACATGGCAGAATCACGTGAAGCAAATATAGAAGCAAAACATCCCCTCTACTCAAACTGAAGTGCAGTATGTTATTTTTGAAAAGTAGAAAATATAGCCGACTTGATATTTTTTAATACTTGTTTCAAAAGAGATCAAAGGGTGTGCCTTTATATGTGTCAAAACAGACGTATTTTTTATGTCTAAATTTTAAAATAACTATCCGTATAAAACAGTTAATTAAAAAAAGTATAGAACTTCAATTATTGCTTTTAAGTTGCTTAGTTGTTACCGAATAACGGTTAAATTAAATTTGAAAAAAAAAAAAAAAAAAAAAATTAATACTTCGTTGCGTGGAAGGCCTGGCGTGAAAAAAAACCATTTTTTAGCATCCCCACCTACTCACAGTTTATTTTGTTTTTTCTTTAAATTGGTTCATTCCGTGTTAATCCATCATTTAATAAAGCCTCTACTTAATTATCATCGGCCTCTGATTCACCTTTTTAAATCTTTACAGCAGAGCGTGGTTCTGATATTGAACACGCTAGAGGCGAAGCATTAATATATGTTTTGTGGAACTTATTTGCTTGGAACGGAATCGCGCGTTAAGTGAAATTTGAAAGAGCAGCACGTGAGGAGAACACAAAGTATTGTGTTGAGCCGTTTAACGGTAAAAACTTTTCTCTGTTTAAGCGCCGTGTTGGAGCTGTCTTTGCAGCCAAAGAACTTGATAAATATTTAGACGTTGAAGCGGATGAAACGAAAGTTGCTGAAATCAAAGATGCAAAAACGGCTTACGCATTGCTGCTAACCCTTCTAGATGATGCCATATTGGCGACCGTGTCGAGTGAATCTTCTGCATGTGAGATTAGGAGCTGTTTAAAGAATAAATACCATAAGGTGAGTGCAGTTAGTCAAATATTAGTACGAAAGAAATTATCGACACTGAAGAAACGCCGAGATTGCAGTATGCAGTCACATATTAAAGAACTGTTGGCGATCGTAAATGAACTGCAACTCTTGGGTGCTGAAGTCAAAGATATGGATGTGATTATTTATTTGTTGATGTCGCTACCTGCTGCTGAGTACGACATTATTAAATCGACGATTGAGAACCAGCCAAATGAAATGCTTACGCTGTACTTTGTTATGCAAAGGATCTTGAATTGTGAAGAATTGCAAGGTGAGAAAATTTCTTACGATTCTCGTGTTTCTGGTTCAAGTAATGACGTAGCTTTTAGCGCTGATAAGCGTGATATCATCTGCCACAAATGTAAAACTAAAGGTCTTATTGTCTAGCGTTGCAAGAAAAAATTAGTTTGTTTTGGATGTGGACGCCCAGGACATTACAAGAAGGATTGCAGATTTAAGCATAAATCAGATTACAGAGAATCGGCTACAGTAACATTCATGGTTGGCGAGCCTGTTGGAAATTTCATTCTGGATTCTGGAGCGTCTACACACATCTGTAATAAAGGTGAGTGGTTTGAAGAAATTAAACATTTTTCTGGAACTGTTGCAGGTGCTTCGAAAAATTATGTTTTAAAGGTAGAAGGTATCGGTACAGTACCTGGAACATTAAATGGAAGAGAAATATTACTTAAAGATGTGTTATATGTGCTTGAATTGAACGGTTAATTAATATCTGTGAAGAATATGCAAAAAGCAGGTTACAGTGTAATTTTTAAGAATCATGTAGCTGTTATTGAAAAGAGGAATAAAAAATTTGAGTTTGCTAAACTCAGTGAGAAAGGACAGTATGTGAGTCAATTTGAACCTGTTAAAGCTTCAACATATATTTCAAATCATAGTGCAGAATTATGGCACAGGCGAATGTGGCACTCATCTGATAAAGTATTAAAAGAAATGGGTTTGCCAGTATCTGAGCCACCATCAAGCTTTTGTGAAGAGTGCATACTAGCAAACATTCCAACACTCCTATGAACAAAGGTCCCTAGAAGCAGAGAGCATGTGCCGATGAGAATGGTACACACTGACATATGTGGTCCCATTGATGCACCCACTAGGCAAGGTGAAAAGTATTTTGCTACAATCATAGACATTTTTTCTAGATTTACTGAAGTGCATCTCTTAAAGCACAAGAGTGACATAAATGAAGTGTTTAAATTGTTCCTAAAGCAGAATCCTGATGTCTACAAAATTCGGTGTGATAATGCCAAGGAATACGTGTCTGGTGAACTAGCTCGTTATTGCAAGAAAAATGGTGTTATGATAGATCCTGCTCCTTCATATTCACCTCCTTTGAATGGTGTGGCTGAGAGAGCCAACAGATATCTTTTAGAGATGGCCCGAGCTCTAATACGTGAAGCAAAGCTTTCTAACTCCTTTTGGGGTTATGCTGTACAAACAGATGTATATCTGAAGAATAGAATTCCAAATCAGACTGTTGAAAATCTACCTGATGAGCTCAAATATGGGAAGCCGCCTGATTTGAATATTATTAAGGTGTTTGGATCTGATGCATACATACATGAGAGTTCCTGATAACTTAAGAAAGAAATTGGATCCAAAATCAAAAAAGATGATTTTTATTGGATACTCTACCATGGGTTATCGTTTACTGGACCCAGTCACAAATCATGTTGTGGTTTCTCGAAATGTGTTGTTGTTCAATGTTGTTCAATTGTTCAATGAAGAAAAAGAAATGTATCTCAGCTCAAGATGATTTTTCCATAGAAAGTAAAGATCCTTGCTAAAGAATGAAGTAGTATATGATTCAAGTGATGTAGAATCCAGAAATCTTGAAGAAAGTCGTGAAGAAATTATTAGGCAAAAAAGAAATACAAAATTACCTGTAAAGTTGAATGATTACTTTGTGTATGAAGCTAATGTGGCAACTCTTGATACAGTAACATATGAGGATATAACAACATTGCCAAAAGAAGAGCAAGTTCTATGGAGGAAAGCCATGGATGAGGAAATAGCTTCTCTTAACAAAAATGAAGTGTGGAAGTTAGTCAACTTGCCAAAGAATGAAAAGCGAATATCCTGCAAATGGGTGTTACGCATCAAACGAAACAATGTTTACAAAGCTAGACTGGCTGCTCGTGGCTTTGAACAGAAGCCAGGCATTGATTACTTTAAGACCTATGCTCCTGTAAATAGTACATCATCACTTCGACTTGTTCTGGCTATCATTCTGAATTCAAAAGAAATGGTTGAAAACTTCAACAACAACTTAACTGTGAAAGCATGTTAAGCTTTTGTTAAGAAGAACTAAACAGAGTGAAATATTTATTGTGCTGTATGCGGATGACTTGCTAATTGCTGGTTCTAATGAGGTAAAAATTGTGATAGAATTACTTAGAAAATGAATTTGAGATGTCCCAGGCTGAAGTTGCAAATGAATTTCTAGGAATAAGTTTTGAATATTCACAGAACAAACGTACTTCAGGCCAAAAGGCTTATGTTGAAAAATTGTCAAATAGATTTAGAATGTTGGATTGTAAGCCATCTGATACTCCCCTAGTGCCTAAGTCAACTTCATCAAATTTTGCGAATGGTGAAAGATTTCATGGCCCTTATCGTGAACTTGTAGGTGCTTTGCTGTACCTATCTATGACAACTCGTCCTGATATTCTGTTTTCTGTGAACTGTCTGAGTCAGATACAAGAGCAACCCACTAACAATGCTTGGACTGGTCTGAAGCAAATTCTTCGATTATTTAAAAGGGACATCTGAACTCAAATTATTATTTTCTAAATCTAATAGTGCTGATATTACGTTAAATGTTTATGTTGATACTGATTGGGGGTCAGATACATATGATAGAAAATCTATTTCTGGGTATATTATTTTCTTCAATGATTGTCCTGTGACTTGGTCTGTTAAAAAGCAAACATCTATTGCTCTGTCCTCTACTGAGGCAGAAATTTTGGCTTTAGCAAAAGCTATCCAGGACCTAACTGTATTTTATAATGTATCTAAAGAAATTTTAGTTTATGTTTAGGATAATCAGTCTGTAATTAAAGCAATATTAAATGTGCTAGACTAAAACATTT